TTTTTTTTTTTTTTTTTTTTTTTTTTTTTTTTTTTTTTTGTGGAGAGGCAGGATGTCGAGACAGGGTTTCTCTGTGTAGCACTGGCTGTCCTGGAACTCGCTCTGTAGACCAGGCTGGTTCCGAATTTACAGAGATCCATCCGCCTCTGCCTCCTGAGTGCTGCTGGGTGAGATTAAAGGTGTGCGCCACCTCGTCAGGCTCCCATTTCTTGTTTTTGACTAATCTACGAATCCTGTCCCCCTTCATCTTCTCGTTCCTGACAGACAAAACCTTCCCAGTACCCTTAGCTTGTTACTCCACTCAGGCGAAAACGCCACACAGTGGGCTTCCTCGTCACAGTAGGGAGCGCTGCAGGGTCCCGGCAAGTGTTAAATCTGATCCCTTGCAGCCTGGCTGAGAGCTCCCATCTACAGCAGAAGCTGGTCCAGCCCCTTCCCAGGATACTCCTCTGCTTGGGCCCTGAGGTGGGAAGGAGAAAGTATTGCACCTGATTGCAGAGGCATGGGACCCGCCTTCTCTGTCTCCATGGTCCTGCTGCTGCTTATGCTAGGTGAGTCCCACGGGCAGGGCCAAGAGGGGCGAAAAGCAGAAGCCATTTGACTCAAGAAGACATTATATGATAACATATGGATGCTACTTGTGAGTGGCATCATCTAAGAAACTCTTGGGAGATTATTGCATATATGAGACTTTTAATGTCCGTGGTTAGTTAGATAAAGTAGTAAACAAAACTAAGGTCTTTGTCTTCATGAGACTTATAATCAGTGCACGAATTAAAAATGTAAATTATAAAGCACAGTAATGGGTAGTACATGTTAAGAAAGGAAAGGGGCAAGACAGGAGGGCTAAGGCCAGACTGTGCTACATTTAGGAGTTCTAGGTCAACCTAGCCTACATAAAACAAACAAGAAGAAGAAGAACAAGAAGAAGAAGAAGAAGAAGAGGTGTGCTGTAATTTTAACAGGTTAGTCTAAAATGGCCTCTCTAAAAAAGAATAATTTGAGCAGATCCTGGAAAGAGACTGGGATATTTTCTGCCCATATTATTGCCATCCACACATGAACCAAGGCTCTTCTTTCCCTCCGTGCCCCACCCCTAGAGTGAGGGGGCTTTGCCATTTTCCCACAGGTTTGAGGCTAGGGCCCTTGGCATGTGACCATGGCCATGTCAACAGTATACATTCACTCAGGGCTTCATTCACTCAAGGCTTCTTCCCTATAGGGAGGAAGTTAGGTAAGACCTGGGCCTGAAATGCAGTTTTCCAGGTATAATACATAACTTGCTTCAGGTATAATACATAACTTGCTATTTCTCTGGCTTACAATAGATGAAAAGAAGGCTATGCTGTCAGTAGCAAAGAGGTAAGAGGTAGCAAAAAGATTCATAAATACTGTAAAATGACAATTCAGTTAAAGAAAATGCCATAAAAATAAACAGCCTATAAATCTCATAAACATCCCAGGGCATCATTGTATTACAACCAAACATACTTGATGTTCCTGATAATGACCCTGAATCATCAAGTAAGGTAAACTTCAGTTGCTATAGGAAGGGAGGCATATAATTATCAAGAGCCCCAGTGACTGGTAGATATTTGTAAATTTTAGCCTTACCACCAATCTGGAAAGCATTCTGTTCCATGAGTTTAAACATAAGATGTGTTACTATGCATTGATGGGAAAAGTCCTTCTATGTATATGTTTATCTTATTGGTTGTTGAATAAAGCACTGTTCGGCCAATGAGGCAGAAAGATAGGTGGGACTAGGAGTCAGGAGGATTCTGGGAAATGTATTAGAGACGGGAGTCACCATGTGATCGCCAGGAAGACAGAACACAAGGCCGGTGTCCTCTATAAGTCTTATAAATATATAGATTAATAGTATGGTTGATAATTAATACTGATCTAGCAGATAAGAAATACTAGCCATTGGCCAGCAGCGTGTACCTAATATAAGTCTCTGTGTGTTATTTTGGCCACCCACGTGGCGGGTGAAACTCGAGTGGCTGGCGGAAAGACTTATCATTACAATGCATTACTGATATAGTGTGTTTTCTGTAGGGTCTTGTCAATGCCCTTATGGCAGAAAGAAAACTTTGCAATCAGGTGAGTAGTCTCCACCCTGGCTTAGGACTGCTGGGTTGGAAACTAGAATTCTGGGGGTGGGGAGGGGGGCTAGAGAGATGGCTCAGCAGTTAAGAACACTGGCTATTCTCCCAAGGGTTCCAAGTTCAATTCCCAGCACCCATATGGTGGCTCATAGCCGTCTATAACTGTCATCCCATGGGATTCGACGCCCTCTTCTGATGTTCGGATGTGCATGCAGATAAAAACACCCATATACTTAAAGCACATTCTTTGGGGAAACAAACAAACAAACAAACTGGAATTGGGAATCATAAATTGTCTTAGGGAGAGGTTAAATTGCCTTAGGGAGGGCTTAAATCCTAGAAAAGGATGAGATGGGAGTTTGGGGACAATGATGAAATGGACACCAGAGGTTGAACAGAACTTCCCAGTCTGCACAGTTCCTTCTCTCCTTTGTCTAGTGTGTGGACGACCTGTATACTCTGGACGAATCGTAGGGGGCCAAGCTGCTGCTTTGGGGCGCTGGCCTTGGCAGGTCAGCCTGCAGTTTGGCCGGGCCCACATTTGTGGAGGTTCCCTCATCAGCAAGAATTGGGTACTGACAGCAGCACACTGCCTAAAAGGGTAAGTTGTAGCTGGGAGCTGACCCACAGATGGCTTCTCTGGGAATGTTTGGATGGCATGATGGGAACGAATAAGCTAGCACAAGTGTTAAGATGAGCAGGGCAGAAGGAAACACTACATCTCCTGGAGTGAACACAATCGGGGACAGGGTGTGGACAAGTCCCTTTCATTGTACTATCTCTCTTCTGAACTACCTACCTGTCAGGAGATTGTCTTGAGCTTTTGTTTCTCACAAACAGTCTGAGCTTTCAGAGTCATTGTGTGAAAGCAAGTTGCCATGTGGTGAGCACCATATGAAACCGGTTCCTCATGAGGACTCCAACTCAATGTAAGTGAGCAGGAGCAGACTCTTCCCAAGTCAAGCCTGGAGCTGACTGCAGCCCGCCCTGACTGGAGCAGCTTGAGAGACCCTGAGATGGAGGCACAAATTAGGCCACAGCTGATCCCTGACTCAAAGAATCTGAGACACAAATACATTTTCATTTACACCACAGAACACTGTAGAAACTAACTGTGCAGCAACAGATAACTAATATGCATAGAAGTCAAAATAACAGGCTTTTTCATTAGCAACCATGAAAATTCAGAAAAATGGTATAGTGACTTCAAAATGCTGAGGGAGAGTTTCTTCCTAGTTCAGAATTATATAGTCTACCCATATACAAACTATGAATAGATAGTGTATAAACACAGACATTTACAAATACTCAAAGCCACAAAACAATGTTACCACTCGTGCATATGGGCAGGGAGAAACAAGAAGGCAGAGGGCCAAGGAAGCACGTTGGTGGTGGTAATGGACTGCCTGACAGTATCGCCTGGATGTACTGAGAAGTTTGTATTTCTAGCAGAGAGTTTGGGGACAAAATGATGGATCTGTGATGGGCATAAGAAAACAAAACAAGACTACATTATGAACTTCAGGTAAAGCAAAGGGTTTTATGAGAAATGCAATCACAAGATCCAATCTAACCTGCAGTGCAGGAAGTTTACCCAGTGGCAAGAAAACACTGATCAAAACAGAAAGTTTCGACCTTTAGGGAGAGGAGTGAACACTAAGGATAGAGGCTTCTCATCATTGTTTTCTCTTGTTGTAATAAAGACCATGACCCAAATCAACCCAGTAGGAAAAGGATTTACATCAGCTTACAGTTGTTGTCCATCATGAAACAGACAGGACAGGAACTCAAGGCAGCAACTAAAGCAGAGACCAAGGAGGAACCATGCTCACTGGCTTGTCCCCATACCTTACTCAGCCTGCTTTCTTATAACACCAAGACCTGCCCTGGAGCGACCCCTCCCACAGACTCACCTATATACCAATCTGGTGGAGGCATTTTCTCAGTTGAGAATCCTCTTCCCAGGTAACTTCAGCTGTGACAAGTTGATAAAAAACTAACTAGGACAAGGCTGGAAAGTGAGATGTATAAGAAAGCCCAGGGCTTACCTTGAGTATTTGGAACTTAAGGTCCAAAACATTGTGTGTGTGTGTGTATGGGTGAGGGGGGTGTCAAGAAAGAGCAATATATGGTGTTGAGACAAGAACTTAGGTTATTTAGTGTACAAAATAAATTATGAAACTAACACACACACACACACACACACACACACACACACACACACACACACACACACCCTATGGAGAATGGAAGAGGTTAAGTGGGGAACCAGGGAGAGTATGTAGGACAAATTATGGCCACCAGCATATAAGTGGAGATCACAAGAAGAGAAGTCAGGACAGGGCACAGGAGATAAGAAAAGGACACAAACTAATCTTAGCTCAAGATGAACTGAGCCCTGGTGGTATCATCTTTTCTTGTTCAGAGATGACTTTGGGCTACAGATAGGTAGCTTGTCTAATGTGCGGCAAGCCAATATGCCACTTTTATACTCTTCTATCTTTTCCTCTTAGGCACTGGATTTTTATTCCATACAGTATATGGCTTGGATCCATTGATGTAAGACAATCAAGCAAAGGCAAGGAATACTATGTGTCCAAAATCGTCATCCATCCCAAAAAGAGTGATACAAATGGAGACATTGCCCTGCTGAAACTGTCTACCCCAGTCACCTTCACCTCTGTCATTATGCCCATTTGCTTGCCCAATATCTCAAAGCATCATAAGCTTCCAGCTTCTTGCTGGGTGACTGGATGGGGACAAAACATGAAAGGTACAGGAGAGATGGGTGGAGAGAGGGATTAATTGATCAAATCAATCTAAAAGTCTTCAAATAAAATATACTTTTGACAGCTACCTGTTTATTTACTTCTATATCATGCCTAGAGTCTGGTTATAACTGAGAGAGAAAATATTACCAATTTAAACACATAATTACCTCTCCCTCAGAGACTATTAAACAAGGTTTAATGTTTGGAGAGTCTAGGGGTTGGTTTTTTTTTTTTGGTGTGTATATGTTAATTTGTTTATAAAATGCATGTCAATACTTTCCCAGAATGAAGTAGAGATATGATAGGAATTTATCTGGAAGCAGAAAAATGAGGAGGAGAACAATTTTAGAATAATTTTGATTACCTACATTTTGGCTTCTTTATTAGAATGCTGGTATGAACTGAAGCAATTCAAATTCAGTTGTTTGGATTTAAGCACCTCCGATTTTCGCATAGCAAGTGTGGTTGGAAGTTGGCTGGTCCTGACTGGCACCCTGTTACTTTCCAGGGTTTTACAATCTTTCATTCCTGTCTTCCTCTGCAGGTCAGTACCCTGCTTTCCTCCAAGAAGTTGAAGTACCCCTCATTGATGATGTGGAGTGTGAGCAACAGTACAACCCCCTCAGCATGTTCATCCCGGGGCTGGAACCGGTCATTAAGAAGGACGAATTTTGTGCTAGTGACATTAAGATGAAAAAGGATAGCTGCAAGGTTAGTGTTTGCTCTTGAGGCACTCCAGGGTACCTTCTTCCCTGCCAGGAGGTCTTATCTAAGTTATTTTATCTGTAATTAACAATAAATTACCACCCAAGAAATGATGGTTCTGACAGTAATTCTTCAGTTATGCTGGACAAATCAGCTAACCTATATCAATATTTAATTTTTGAGATTATAATCACATTATTTCCCCCTTTCACTTCCTCCCTCTAAACCCTACAATATGCTTCTCCCTTTCAAAACAATAAGTCTTTACTCCAAAGCCGCCTGAGCCCTGTTGCCACATGGGCACTTTCTGCCAGGCTGCCCAAGTTCTGCCCGCCACCACATTAAGGTCCCAAGTAACACACAGAGACTTATATTAGTTACTGCTGCTTGGCCAATGACTAGGATTTCTCATCTGCTAGTTGTCTTTTTTTTTTTAAGATTTTATTTATTTATTATGTATACAACATTCTGCTTCCATGTATATCTGTACACCAGAAGAGGGCACCGGATCTCATAACAGATGGTTGTGGCTAGCTCAGTCTTAATTATCATAAATCTATATGATATTTTATAAGACTTATCTTATTGAGGAAACCTTCTGCTGGTGCCCTCTCTTGCCGGTAGATCACATGATGACTCCAGAGCAGAGACCAGGAGGAAGAGCAAGAAAAAAGGGAACGACTTTCTTTCTTGCCCTTGCTTATATATGAGTCTCCCTGCTATGTCACTTCCTGCCTGAATCACAACACTTCTTTACTACATTTCCCAGAATCCTCCTCAACTCCTAGTCCTGCCTAACTTGCTGCCTCATAAATACTTTATTTATCATCCAATAAGACAAACTCATACACAGGAGCACTTCCCCCATCAGCCTCCATTTTCATTTCATTTTTGTTACATGCATATATATATATTCCTATGTATATATATTCCTATATACAACCTGCTCAGTCTGTATAATGTTACTTACATGTATATTTTTAGGGCTGACCATTTGGTATTAGATAACCAAGACCATATCTCTGACTCAGCATTCCTTAGTTGCCTATAGCTCTTTGTGTAGGGTTGAGGCTGCATGGGGTTTTCACTGTCTACTTTGGCATGTCTGTTGTTGTCTTTGTTCAACTCATATTTGGGCAGTCATGTTGGTGAGACCCTGTGCAGCTTCTGACATTACTAGGAGACACAGCTCACAGCAAACTTCCCAAATCTTTGGCTTTTTTTTCTTTTTTCCAAGACAGATTCTCGTTGAAACAGTCTTGGCTGTCCTGCAACTTGCTTTGTAGACCAGGCTGGCTTCGAATTCACAAAGATCTGCATGCCTCTGCCTCTGCCTCCCGAGTACTGCTGGGATTAAAGGCATGTGCCACCACTGCCCAGCTGAAGCTTTGGCTTTTAAACAATCTTTCTGCCTTTTTTTCCATAATGTTCCCTGAGCCTTAGGTGTGGGAGTTGTACTATAGATATATCCCTTGGTACTAGGCCCCACAACTCTGGGTTTTTAATTTTATGTGTGTTGGTGTTTTGCCATGGGTGTCAGGTCCCCTGGAACTAGAGTTAGATAGTTGTGGGTGCCGGGAATTGAACCCAGGTCTTCTGGAAAAGGAGTCAGGGCTCTTAATCACTGTATTTTGATTGGCTATGTTTTCTGTAATGTTGACCTATATCAATTTAATTCCTTCAAACATAAGACTATTGATCTAGAGCAATGGTTCTCAACCTTCCTAATGCTGTGACCCTTTAACACAGTTTCTTGTTGTGGTGACCCCCCCAACCATAAAATTATTTTTGTTGCTACTTCATATCTGTAATTTTGCTATTGTTATGAATTGTGATGTAAACATCTGATATGCAGGGTATCTGATATGTGACCCCTGTGAAATGGTCCTTCAACTCCTGCCAAGGGGTCGAGACCCATAGGTTGAGAACTACTGATCTAGACCAAAGTAGCCACTTGTTATTACATTTTTAAAAACCTGTAATTTTTCACAAATATACTGAGGTAAACACAAAATTTAAATTTTTATTTTTCTTAATATTTCATCATATACTTTTCAAATGTCATTCTCCTATTCAACTATCAGTCATCAAGGTTTGTGGGTATTATTCAATGGTAGAGACTTGCCTAGCATTCATGAGACCTTGGCTTTGATTCCTAGCACCATAAAAACAACCAACCCAGCCAATGCTTGAACCTCCATTTCATGCACGTATATGCTGCATTGCTCTGGCTTGCTCTAGGCTGCTGGCTTGCTCTCTCTCTCCCTTCCCTCTCGCTCCCTTCCTCCTTTCCTCTCTCCTTTCTAGCATTTCACCCTTCACTTCCTAACTGCCTGTGGTAGCTCTGAGCTCTGTCCCCTGATCTCGAGCCAGCAAGACTGTGGGTTTCTCTTTAAGTTCTAGCTATCAGATAAGTGAAGGATGGGCCTGTTTAAGAGAAAATCATAGAAAAACAAAGTGTTATTCTTTTTCTTCTGAAGATTAACCCAATTCCTGTCTGTTTTTGACCTCTCCACTGCCTTCATAGAGTTGGCTTTTCTATTTCATGTGCAGCAGAGTTGCTCTGAGATAAGCAGCAAAGAATAGAACACACTTTAAGTGCACATGGAACATTCCCCAAAACTGATTTATCCAAGGCTGTAAGCTGAGTCTCAATACAGTTAGGGGGATTGAAATCATACAAAGTAGGATCTCTAATAACAACAGAATAAAGTTAGAAATAAGTAACAGAAAAAATATGGACATTTCAGATCTGTGGTAGTTAACATATTCCGAAATAACCAGTGAGCCAAAAAAAGAAATCACTATATAAATTGAGAAATAGTTTGATAGAAATGAAGTAAAGACACATCTTATGGGCGGAGCTTAAGCAGTGGTTAGAGAAACTCATAGTTGTTAATGTCAGTTGTATAAACAAGAATATCTCAAGATAAGAACCTAACCTCTATATTAAGACACTGGGAAAGGAGTCCGGACATAATGTAGAGGCAGGACCTCCCTGTCTGTGCAAAGCCATGGTTTCACTCTGAACACTGAAGAGGAAAGGGGTAAGGAAGAGAACAAGGAGAAAGACAGCCACCAAAGAGAGGAAGAGGGGAGAGAGAGCGGGAGGAGAGAGAGGGAGAGGGAAAAAGGGAAAAGAAGAGGGGGATGGGGAAGGGGAGAGAGGGCACAGTTCTGGGGGTTGGGGAGCAAAAAGAACAAAGAAATAAGGATTTTATTTACTGAAGCAGAGAACAGAAAGACAATAAAAAGGAAAAAAAGCCAAAGTTTGTTTTAAAATAAAATTGGGAAAAAATAGCTAGACTGAGAAATTAATAAGCTGATACTAAAACACATATGGAAATTCAAATGGCCCTAACCAGTCTTGAAAAAGAAAAATAGAGTTGAAGACTCAAACCTTCTGATTCCAAAGCTTTCTATAAAGTGACAGTAATCAAAACAGTGTGGGCAAGCATCAGGCCAGACACACAAAGTCAACTGAGCTCAACATTAAATCTTAAAACTGTTATAAAACAAAGAAACAGGAAACAAATTACTAATGGCTGCCATCATCCCATAGAAGAAATGAACACCACACTAAAAACACAATAAGAACCTGTGGGAAAAAAACAAGGGTATTTTACACTCATTTAAGTCTTACTTTGTAGTGAAAACCTTAATGAGAAATATTGTATTAACTTTCCTTTGCTTTTTCACAGTATATCAAATGAATATTTAGAAACAACTAACATACTTTTCTAAGGTCCCTGCCAATTTCAAATTTTATTGATTCTAGAACTCCTGTGAGCTCTCCCTGAAGCAGTAGGAAGTCCAGCTCCCTTGCAGTTGCACAGCTCAGGTCCTGTTCATCCCTCCTGAATAATAATACACTCCCCTACCCTCTCAGGCCTTTTCACTGCTGAGCTCTGGCCTTTCTGTCTCCCTCAGGGCGACTCCGGAGGGCCTCTGACATGTCAAATTGATGGTGTCTGGACCCAGATAGGTATCGTAAGCTGGGGTTTGGAATGTGGCAAAATTGCTCCTGGAGTCTACACCAACGTGACCTACTACCAAAAATGGATCAGTGCCATTATCTCAAGAGCCCAGGGCTCGGGTGGTGACTGTACTTACGTGACTTCTTGTTCCCTACTGTACTTCTTTCTCTGGCTCTCCTGGGATCCTCCTGAGCCTTGGCCCTAACACAATACCAAGACAAAATAGAGACGCTGCTGCTGGGGAACTAATGAGATGGAATGGGTGGAGAATAAAGCCTTGGGCAGAGAACTCCTAAGAGAGTCACGGAGATTCCTTCATGATTTTGTTTTAAAGGTTCTTGATTTTTTTCATGTTTTAGTGGTTAGAATGCAAACAGCTAATAAATAAGGCTACCACATCTATGCATGGTATTTTTAAATTTTTATCCCAGAATAATGTATCTTATGACAGAGGAAGGATGCTTTCTATGAATACATATTTGTGAATATGAGTTAAATAACTACTAGAAAAGCAAGCTAAAAAAATTAAAATGGTGTAAGGGAGGGTCTCCAAGGAACTCTAGGAAGGTCTATTTTGAAACTTAGTTGCATCATAGATTTCTTACCTACTCTGTATTTTTTTTTTTTTTGCCTCCTCTATTAGCCTTTGTTTCCCTGCTAATCCTTTTCTATCCCTCAGTCTGTAACAAGGAGTGCATATAAATAGCTTTACTCTTTTCAAATTCCTGTGTGATTTACTATTAAAAATACTGTTAGGTTTGGTAGCAAAGTCTCTAATCACAGCACCTTGAAATCAGAGGTCAGCAAGTCTGGAGCCAGCCTGTGCTACATGATGAGTTTGAGGCAAACCGGTCTAGAAGGCCCCATTCTAAAGCAAGACCCTGTCTAAAAAACATAGATCGATCAACTAAGTAGACTAATGCTATGAGCTCAAGCCCTGAGGTCTTAGGTAAACAATTTTAAACTACTAAGGTTCCAGAATGCCTGTTTTATAATAAAGGACTTTAAATGCTCAGATCAAGGAAAGAGCTTCTGTGTTCAGACTGCAGGAGCACAGAGCTTAGTTCTGTTTCTCCTTGATTTTCTGGTATAATTTCATTTATACACCTTTGAGCCATCCTTTATTTCTCATTTGACTTATTTATTGTATCTGTGCCTCTTGTGGTAAATCAACTTTCAAAAGTAATTTTTTGATAAATAAATACATTAAATAGGAAGTGAGTATAAAAGCCAGGCATGGCACATGCTTGCAGTACAAGCATTTAGGAGGCTAAGGCAGGAGTTCAAGGCCAGTGTAAACTACAGAGACAGTATCTAAAATGAGAAAAAGAGCAAGCAGGACAGTGAGGTGGACTTGGAAACTTAAGAGCTGAACCAGCAGGATGGCTCAGCAGGTAGGAACACTTGCTACCAGGTCTGAAGATCTGAGTTCCACCCTTGGAGCCTACAGGTAGAAGGCAAGAACCAACTCCCAGGAGCCATATCCTCTGATCTCCACATATAAACATGGCACATGCACTCATTTCCCACAGACCAAATAAATACACATAACTTAAACTTTTGGAAGACTTTGCTAACTTTTAATCTCACTTTTGTACCTGCTATGACAGCATCCTAACTGGTGATTCTGTGTCCTTTCTTTCTTTTTTTTTTAATTAGATATGTTAACTAGTTTATTATAGGCCCGGCAGAGTAGGGAGACTAAGAAAGAAGAGAAACAGGGTTGAGAGAGAGAGGGAGAGAGAGAGAGAGAGAGAGAGAGAATAGGTGGAAGAAGAGAAGAGCAGAAGAGTCTGTGTCCTTTCTTATGCTGGAGCTTTATACCCAACTTCCCTGACTCTCCAGAGCATTCACACCCATGCTTTTAAAATGAGAAATACTTCTAATACCAGCCTCCTTATTTCTCCTACTCACAGCACTTCAACGCTATCTTGTTCAGAGAATAAGGAGAAAAGTCCTTCACATGGTAAGGAGAAAAATCCTGCACATGGTCCACAGAGCCCTCAAACCTGGCCCTAGCTTGCCTCTTCAGCCTCCTAGTATATCACTCTACCTTTTCTCTATGCCCAACCAGAATAGGATCTCATGAACCAGGAACCAAAACATAAACCTTTAGTGGGTGCAGGGTCCAAGTAGAAAGAAAGCAATCAAAAGGACTGTGTCACTTGACAGGATGGAACAGGAACAGGAACCCAACTGCACAGGAGCCAGGTGTCTTGCCTAAGAGATCCTGGACAACATTCCTCCCCTGGGGAAGTCTGAAATAAGTCAGTGTGTGCATCTGTACATTTAACAGTATCAAGTGCCCACCATGTAACAGGCACCAAATAAACAGCAGAACCTGCAGGAGTTTACAGCCTGGTTAGGGAGTGACAATACCTAATGCAAAAGAAACAAACTAAAGCCATGTACAAGAAAGTCTGATGGAGAAAAAGAAGTCCAAAGAGTCAGGTAAGAGTAATGGGATTCCACCTGACGTGTTGTTTTTCTTCCTCTCCCTGCTTCTTGTCTGCACTGTCCTTGGAGCCCGTTTACCATGGTGATCTGAGAAAGCCACAGCTTGCTTCTTACACTGAATTAACACCCAGCATTGAGACACCCAGAGCAGGTTCTCGATCCTTCAGCCCATTTCCACCTCATGGCTTTATTGTGTCTGCCCTTCATACCTAAAATACCCGTCTTTGTACCTCTCAATACATTTATTTCTGTCTACTGCTTAGAAAAGGGAGAATACAGACAAAATACATTAAAAGCACCATAGGGAATGGTTTCTTAAATTAGGGCTTGGGGTGTGGGTCATCGGTAGGATACTTGCTGTGGTAAGCAAAGCCCTGGATCATCCCCAGTACCAGTAGAGAAAAATTAAAAGTCAATGGGTGAATTGCATGGCACATGAGTTATATCTCATTAATGTCACTTTCTAAAAATGAACAGGGAAGTTTATCTCCTGCTTAACTTAAATATTGACTTGTCTGTGATATATTTAGGGCTCTCTAAAGATCTGGACAATACTTGTGATTGCATTTCAAAACAAGACTCAAAGTAATTATATACATTTTCTGTTTCAGTTGCTAAAACACAAAATGGAAAGTATAACCCAAAATGTGGGGTATGGAACTTGTTAATACATTACTGAAGGGGGGAATAATCAATAGACATTTATATTCACAAAACTAAAATGTCAAGCAGTTACAGGCAACTAATGTAGCCATTGCCATCACACTGACAGAGTGAAGGAGGGTATAAACAAGGGCATCTTTATTCTCAGCTTTGGGAGGGCTCAGCACAGGACTTCTGATTTAAAATCAATTTTAATTTGCAGAATATGTTACTTCTTGGAGTATCTCATTTTCATATGTGCTACCTTTCATTTTCAGATGTCTTGAGAAATTTTAATTAAGGTAGGATTTTAATAAATAAAAATTGCTGAAATTTAGTCAACATTTTTTTTCTCCCTAAAAGTGGCAGGGGGGAGTGTGTAGTTAGTGATATCCAGATTGTTTTTCTTTGTAGCAAGTGGACTGCTTCAAGTAGGGACCTAGTTTTTCCCTCGATTTCATGAAGCCATACAGTTGTCCTCCCACATGTGGGGACATTAGAGAAAAAGTTCAGAATAGGATTGGAAGCCTGCGTGTTGTGACTGTTTCAATGGTGGTACTTCACCCATCTGGATGCTGTTTCACTGACGATGTCACAAGTTCCCTGACAAATCCAACAAAATACGCTTTATTTACACAATAGAAAGCAGTCATCTGCAACTTTTAAAAACATATTCTTTGTTCAGGAAGGGGAGGGAAAGAGTTGCTCAGATAACCAGAGCTTAATTTCATTCAACATTTGTTCCAGATAATCGAGGGGAAATACTCAACCAGATGAAGAAAAGAGACAGAAATCTTCCATGCAAATCCCAATTGCCTTGCAAGATAATTACCTTTAACCAATCCAGATTCTCTCCAGTGTCCTCTGTGATGTAAGATTTCACTTTCACCTCCATATGGCTGAAGGAAAGTGACTGAGATCTAGTCCTGTGTCAGGCACTGTATGTGCTACTTATGACCCTTACATGCAGTATCGGGCTATAATTAACTCACAACACCCAAGAGTGAAAGGCAGGGGCAGGGAGCCAGCCTAGGGATCCAAGACACTTCAGACATTAATCCTGTGCTTAGTGAAAACTAGTGAACAGGATAAATCTGGATAGAGCCGGTGCTGACAAGACAACATCTGATCAGCTTTGGACCTCCAGGACTATACTCTCTTAATTTCATGTTTTTAAGCCTTTCATTTGTACATTGTTACAAAAGCAATAGGAAACTAATACAGATGGGGCAAGCTGAAGGACCTTTTAGTTATCCAAGCAGATATGCTACAGTTCAGGAGGAGGAGCAGGGGCAGAGAAATAAGAAAGAGCCTTTCCATCTATGGACCATCTTTTCCACACTGCCAGTGCAGTAAATACCAAAAGAGAAAATGCACATTCACTTATTTTTCTTATAATTTTCAAAATATTCAAGAACCCCTATAAGCACAGAAAGCCGTAAGTGATGACAAAACAGCCTGCCCCAATATCATGACAGCCACCTCCCTAAGAGGGGAAAGTCAAGGAACATTCAATCTAAAAAAGGAATAATTTTCCTGAATTCTGGCTATTGAAAGAAAATCAGACAGAACAGATGCAGCCGACATGGAAGATTCAAACCCTCTGGGTACCACAGCATCCTCACTGTTGCCCTCTGAGCTGGCTTGAGGCCTTGGCTGTTGTGCCATGACTCCTTCTGAAAAGTTGGAACAAACAGTACTCATCTGTTAAAACGAAGCTGCTCAAGACTAGCTTACAACAGAAATCTGTGATGCCGAAGCTATTAGGCTTCAGAATTGACTGATGCCATTAAAAATCCCATATCAATAGGGGAGGTAAAGAGAAATGACAGCAGTTATTTAATCAGTATTGTCTACCAATGAGTTTGGAAGAATAAAGAATACTTGGCTTTAGAAAACTAAAAGTTGGGGGCACATCAAAGGCAAGTATTTGAGTTTTAGGAGAAATATCCTATCCCCCTAGGAGTTCAGGGAATCTACTTTTAATTCGGAAAGAGGGGGCCGACATAAAAGATCACAAACAAGAAAAATAAGTGCACTCTTGCTTCAGACTTCCAAGTCAGTGCCATACAAGGAAAAAGACGTTAATCCATTTGAAGGGCCTAAGCCAATATCCAAGTAGTTCTGAATGGACCTACTCTAAATCCT